ATTGGGATTCTCTGGTTTTGTCGGATTGATCCGCACCTTCAAAAATATGAAATTTTATTGGCTGATGTAATATTAACCAGGACAGAAAGTAAAACGAAGTGTTGTCAGATCCTTGTAACCAAAGCTTAGATTATATATTAATCATTTGTTAGACACCGACTGTAGTGTGGGTAGGAGCACGTGTATTTCCTTGATGGACTTTAATAAAAAAGAACACGGTTATTTTTTTTTAATTTCATTATTGTTTTATCTTTCCCTGATTTAAAATGGAAACAAACTATTTCGCTCCCCTTCTGAAAATATAAAATCTCTTTCGAGAAATTTAGAATCAAACATTTTCCAAAAATGTTGCCCCCCCCCCCCCCCCTCACCAAAAAATGAGCGGCTTCCCACAAAACCTTTTATATTGCGGGTTACTGCATGTGGTGGTGCTTTCGCGGTAGCATGTTCGCATAGAGTGGGAGAGGTCATGGGTTCGACCCCCGGCCGGGTCAAATCCAAAGACTTTCACATTGATATTTGCTGCTTCCCTGCTAAGCCCGCGAAATTAAGGAATAAGAGCAAAAGCTGGTCGGCTCGGAATCAGAAGAATTTGTCCGGGTAAGGTGACATGTCTTCCTTCGGAAAGTTACCTTGTGAACTAGCATGTTAAAAATCCGGCTCAGGGTGTCGGTCTAGTCCAAAGCAGGGTTAATATTCATATCACATTACAGCTATTTTCCTAATGCATGTAGTTTAAAGGTTTGATTGGCTTGATTGCTTTGTTTTTATAACTGTTTGCTCATGCATTTTAATTAAGTTTTACAATTCTAATCAACAGATAGGCTGGGTTTCAGCTTGTATGATGTTATTGAATGCTTGAACAAACATTTATACAAACAAAGCACGCAAGCCAACCAAACCTTTAAACTACATACATCAGGAAAATAGCTGTAACATGTTCTTGTACGAATATGCATATCAATTTGCCGCTGCACATCAAGCATCCATCCATAACCATCTATATTGAAGTTGTGAAATATATGCACGAAAACATAATAAAAAGCTGAAAGCAAATAAAAAACACCGAGTTGAAGTTCATTCCATATCTCCTTTAAAGCATTTCGGATGAAAGAGATGGGCGCTCGCTGGTCGAGTGGTGTGAATAGTCGAACTACTGTATCACTTGTCTGTCGACACTTAGGTGTGTGAGTTCGAATACCGCATGTGGTAGGTAAGCTCGACTCCTATCTTAATTGACCAGAATTGTCAGTTTTCCAAACGAAGGTTGGGTGGTCTCTCTGTGAACTTCGGCTTCCTCCACCAATATAAACTCACCGCCACGAAATAGCATGAAAGTGTTGAAAGTGGCGGTAAATATAAATCAATCAACAAATTAATCAATCAATCATCCATACCGGTATAATTATGGCCTCTAAATCTATATCTTTATTCTCATAAAGTCAATGTATGACATCAGTACAGAGATAACAATAATAACTTTACAATATATACAAAACAAGAGAGAGAGGTTTCAAAAGTCTTTAGTCAGGAGGTATAAAAAATTTAAGATATATTTCTAATTCTCTTTCCAGATCTTCTGGTATAGTTCTGTTAAGTCCTGTAATATTTTTACGCACGAAGAATTTTTTTTAGTCAATCAAAAGTAAAGAAAATATAAAAGGTGATAAGTTTACTCCTTGTCGAACACCATTGTCACAAGCAAGCAAAGTATTTCGAATTATAATTATTAGAAGATGCCAGCGAAAGCGCGGAACAATTGGGCAAGTGTTGAAACAAAGAGTGTGGACACAGTAATATGGTGGACACAGTAAGGATTTGGACACGTTTAATGCATTTAATTCTTTTTCTTTAAAGAGACGAAAACGAGGAACATAATGCAAAAGACGGGCATCACCCCATTCATCTCTGTTGGAAAATAAAAATATCAAATACCCTAAATTGAAAAAGTGTGGCAAAGTGTGTTTTTCAGTGGTTTTTTTCCTTTTAACTAAATAACCGTATGAACTACGTAACATCCTTTGACATTACCGAAAAGGATCAAAATGAGTACACAATGAAAAAAATCCCATCTAATCGGATGAAAAATAAAATCCAAAACACTTCACCAGGAATCAACCCCTCTGTATCTCAGAAACCGTTGACGCCACTCTAAATCAGTTGTCATACTCAAGTTGCAGAATTTTATTAGCAATTAAAAAAATCTCCATTAAAATAAGTTGAAAATAAACAATCTGTATATACAAATATGTGAACATTACCCAACCTGACCATTTCGCATTTCGCGGGCAGTACGTGGACTAAGCATGCGGTCTCCAAATTTGGATATTTTGGCTTTTTTCTGTGGAAAAAAGATTGTTTCAAAGACAAATTAAGGAAGTACAAAACACTACATGTATACGTCATATCACAAATATTTCCGACTTTGTATGGTTTTGTAGGAGTAACACTACATTATACATCTTACCATTTATGTTATTCAATAACATTTTATAAAACAAACCATCTCGCCATATTATGCACGAGTAGATAATTTTATAGCTATTGTTGTGAAATATTTTTAAAACTGACTGTTAGTTCAATGGTGCATTTTGCAATGAATAGAAATAAGAAGATGTGGTATGAGAGCCAATGAGAAAACTCTCCATCCAAGTCATAATTTGTAAGAGTAAACAATCATAGGTCAAAGTACGACCTTCAACACGTAGCATTTGCTTAACCCAAATAGCAAGCTATAAAGGGCCTCAAAATTTGTTTTATCATATTTTCGCCACAGCCGCAAATTTCTCCAGTTAGCTCCTGTATTAATTGATCTTAATCTCCCTCCGAAATGTTTGAAACGTTGATTTTGTTAAATTGCATTGTCTCATTTTTCCTATTAATTGCACTCTCGCTAGCGATAGACACATATTTGAGCTGGGTTTATAGTTTACAGAAGCAGATCGGAATCAGTTATGACGTAGACAGTAATCATTCTAATCGTAATCATGTTCATTGACCATAACGACGATGAAAGCACATCATATAATGACGTTTCGACATCATATAATGAAGTAACCCAAACCACATCATATAAGATTACAAGCACATACTATAAAGATATTTGCACATAATATAATGGTAACTGCACATCATATAATGATATGTACACATCATATAAGTATATCTGTACATCATATAAGTATATTTGCACATCATATAAGGATCTTTGCACATAATATAAGTACATTTGCACATCATATAAGAATGTTTGCACATCATATAAGAATGTTTGAACATCATATAAGTACATTCGCACATCATATAAGTACATTTGCACATCATATAAGTATATTTGCACATCATATAAGTAAATAAGCACATCATATAAGTATATATGCACATCATATAAGTATATATGAACATCATATAAGTATGTTTGCACATCATATAATGATGTTTGCACATCATATAAGGATGTTTGCACATCATATAAGGATGTTTGCACATCATATAAAGGTGTTTGCACATCATATAATGACAAGTGCACATCATATAAAGGTAAATGCACATCATATAATGAAAATGGTCATAACAAGACAGTGTTGGCGTTCCATAAAAAGGTCAACAAAGCGGAAATTGATCGTCTACTTCTTCCAGAATGACAATTTTTACGATTTTTATGCCCCACCTACGATAGTAGCAGGGGCATTATGTTTTCTGATCTGGACGTCCTTTCGTTCGTCCGTCCGTCCCGCTTCAGGTAAAAGTTTTTGGTCAAGGTAGTTTTTGATGAAGTTGAAGTCCCATCAACTTGAAACTTTGTACACATGTTCCCTATGATATGATCTTTCTAATTTTAATGTCAAATTAGAGTTTTTACCTTAATTTCACGGTCCACTGAACTATAGAAAATGACAGTGCGAGTAGGGCATCCGTGTACTATGGACAAATTCTTGTTATTCATGTTTTGGGCACAAGCTTTAGTAGACATAGATAAACTGTGTGAAGAAAAAAATATCAACAAAAAAGAGTTTTTAGCCGAACAATTAATTAATTACTAGTCTACAATGTTCGAATGCGGCCATTGATGAAGGTGCACATTTTTTCATGTGAGCGACACAGGCTCTTTACACCCTCTAAGTAATATTGTTGAAATAATGGGCTGACATGATTGCTGTCGAATAAGGAAGTTAATGTTTGTATTAAGTGTAAACTGGATGCTCTTTAAATAAAAAATATTCTTTAATGGATTCTTAATGACTGTAAAGATTGGGGCATTTTATGCAAAAAAAACTTTCTGTCCTGAACTTTCGGGTATTCTTAAAATTTAGACAAGTTGATGGGAAGCTGTCGTTGTTCGAGTATAGTGCAAGAACCGGAAATGTTTTAATCTGTCAGTGTAAACTGTCTAGCTGTTTCAGTTATTCCATCAATAATGGTATTGTAGATAGACATGATAGAAATGTTTACTTTCAAGAATGGATTGGGAGCTTCATTAATGTCAAATAAATCTAACAAAACTCCCCACTTCACTTGCTCTCAGATCCGAAGAGGTTAAATTAATTGACAGTTCAGTGTAATTTAGTTTTTTTGTAATTGTTTACTGAAAACTGTTAGAATTGCGAAGGATACAATAAAGTTAGGTAATTTTACCATAATTTCTTCGTCTTTAAATAGGCAAAATGTACTTAACCCTAGATGTGTTATTTATATCACTTTGTGTTCTATAATGATAGGTATTTGAATAGATAAAAGTTAATAATGATGGAACAGATTTATTTGAAGTGTACTTATCGCTGTAATTATCTACTATGGCCATTTGGTTACCATCATTAACACGAACAACGGCCAGAGAACAAAATGACCACAAAGGATTATTATGAGAAGAATAATTATGAGGAAAATATCTACTAATCGAGTGCCTTTGAAATAAGCATTGAGAGAACTAATGGATTAAAGTTCTAGTATTATCTGGCACCTGTTGATCGCCTGTACATTTAACAGTAACATTTAGTGTTAAATAAAGATGCACTGGTTTTGAAAAATACTACGAAGATAGATTAAAACACGTGGGTGAAAAAAAATATCCGGTCACTAATTAGCAGTTAATCTGTTCTTATGAATAGTGACGTGTGTATGCCACCTACAACGCAAGAACGTCCAGATGTACAAGATAATCGGAAAACACCGAAACAAATCTGTTTATGTGTTGTAGAGAAGTTGAATATGATGTTCCTAGTTTTCTTTATATGTTATTTATCTTGGAGTATTCCCGCTAATTATGGACTATTTACCTCAGGGTCATCTTATGCTAACGTCTCTTTGGACTATGACAGTAAACAGGTAAGATGTATTTCACGGTAGTAACGTAAACGACACGGAGTCACGGAGTACAAGAGAATTGAGACGGGGAACGTGTACTGTAACATGTCAAAAATGTTTATCATGTAGTTTATAAATCATAAATCCTAAAATTCCAATTTTGAACACATCTCAATCTTGATTTAGTTTCTTTGCATGGCTCTGCTTTTGATATTGCATATTTTGTATATACTGAAAAATTCCATAGCCAACAAAGTTCTAGAGTTTCCGATGAAATTTGAAAAATATAATTTGTCTTAAAATGTTTGTGTTTTGTTTGAGTGGTTGCTTCTCGGGTTGCTTACTTATCTTTTTAATATTATATAGGCTTGGGTTTAAACACAATACCTAGTAATCGGACCATTCTAACATTTGGACTCAAAGTTCTCTTTTACATTGCAAACGTTGTAAACAGAATTTCGCACAAGCTACTAGGCAACAATAGGTTGACCACATATTTATGAACTAAATAATTGATCCAGCGGCAAATAATGGTGGGTTTAAAGAACATAATAGCAAACTTATCTCATATTCATATTTTAAGAGGTACAGTCTTATTGTAACTTTTTAGTTAATAAAATATATAAATATTTTTAAATTAAATATCCTTAAAAAATGGTTGTAACTCCTCATAACATCTTTTTCTTTCCTTGTTAAGGTAACTGCGGTGTCCAAATCTTCGATGATAAAATTTTCATAAACTTCTGTCAAAGACTTCTGGGTCAATGTTCTTTCAAATTTCATAAAAGGGGGGGTCACGGACCTTGTATTTTCGTTAAAATACATTGAAAATAGGGGGAAACTTAATGTTTCTTTATTGAAGAATCATTAAACGATAGAATTTTTGTAAATACTGCCGAAATATCAAATAAGAAATAGGGGTTACGGGCCTTCTTTTCTTGAAAAATCCCCAAAACTCAAATTGTCCTATCAAATTCAGAAAATTTTAAATACGCTTAACGACACTAGAATTTTTGATTAGTTTAATCTTGAAATTTCAAGGTATAGATGTTTCTGTTGTATATTGAATGATATTTGGTAAAATATTTTTAAACCAAAAGAGTATTTTTGAAACATGCCCATAAGAGATGCTCAGAAAACGATACCCGATCTACCTTGATGCAATTTTTGTTTTCGATTTGCCTTACAAACTTTTGTTTCGAGTTTCGAGCGTACATGATATAAGTTATTCCAGTAATGCGTTCGTGTCACATAAATCGGTATTATGCGTTTACATTGTTGAAGGAGACCCAACACGATGATTTGGATTTTTAACATGACAGGTAACAGTCTGTAGAAATACATTCCATATATAATTCTGTTCTGACTAAATTGCTCTTACTCCTTCATGTGTATGACATGTGATTCACCATGAAATACGATTAAAAAAAACTATCGTTTAAAGTGTTTGGTTTGCATAGCTTATGGATTTGAACCTAGTTCTCCTGAAATCATATGTGAGGCGGAGCAGGCTTCGATGATGCCACTAACGCGGTTCATCGTCCATTTACAAGGATGTGCCATAGCTTTCTTTGAAATAAGTATATCACTTAACTATGAAAGCTTACTCATAAACAGTATTCGAAAAAAAAAATACAAAATAACTTTGCAAACTGCTTTGAAAAGGTGAACAAATTATTCATTTATGGAAAATTTGAAGTTTTGGTCAAGATATGAAATATTGCTGATCGTATGTTATTTCATTTTTCTGTCCGAAAGTACTAATCAAATCTTTGAAATAAAACCTTTTCAACTGTCATATCACCAATATAATAATATAATATGGAAAAATACTCATTAATTTTAAATGAGGATGAAAGGCGACTGCTCACTAAGTTCAGAATCAGTGCACATAAATTGGAAATAGAAAAAGGCAGATATGCAGGGCTTCGAGTGGAGGATAGAATATGTAAATTATGCAACACTGAAGTTGAAGATGAAATTCATTTTTCTTCTTCAGTGTCCTGTTTTAGAAAATAAAAGATCTGATAATATAAATTACTTAAATAAGGTTAACAAAAACTTTGAAAGCCTCCCAAATAAATCAAAATTGATATGCCGGTTAATGTCATCTGAAGATAATGTTATCATTAAAAAAGTAAGTTTATTATTGTATACTTTATATAAAGAGAGAAATTTAATTCTCTGCAAAATATAGTTTAGTCACCGGTAGTTTGTCCATCTATACTATATTATATAACAACTTTATATTATGTCTGCAGAAATTGTTCTGTACGGAAAGATTTTATTTTGTTTAATTGTTATAATAAACAATGTAATCAATATGTAATCACTTGTATGAAATTTAACTTAATTGTTCTGCTCAATATTGGGCGTCATAATTGACAATAAAAGACTTTGTTTATCACCAATAGCGTAGGAGACGTAGGACAAACCCCCTAAATTTAATTCACACTACACGGCCACTTTCTAACCACTGTCTGATCTATATAGACAACTTCATATGCATGCGTTTTTGTCGTATTCTTTAACCAATTTATATAATAGTTAAAAGATGACACAGAACTTTATTTTTGATAGAGGCAAACTTTTGAGTATATTTATCCTTAAAACGGAAAAAGAAGGACATTCCAAACAAAAGCCAGAATTCTGTCGAAAGTAAATTACCTTTTAAATACAATTTCTATCATTTTGGTTCTATAGTAAAGTCAAAGTCAAAGATTTTATTGATATAAAATCCAAAATATGGATTGTCATCAACACACAAAGAACAATCATTAATCATTACAATCAATTATATAACAATACAGAACATAAAAAAAAAAGAAGAAAGAGGTGTATATATAAATATATAATGAGTATATGATCATTCTCCAAGGAAAAAAAATAAATGTTTTACAAAACATGTCAAGCAATATATGAATAAATATGTAAATTGCAGAAAATCTTAAACGTATGAATTAAGACACTAAAGTTGCTATTCAACTATAACACTATACAATTTTCCGATTTTGACCTTCTTTTATTTGTTTCATGTAAATCAAAGTTTTTTTCAACACCAATAAATTAACCAACTAACGATATTTTGACACTATTCCCTAAGGTTTACTCTCTCTCTTCAAAAGCATGTGTATATACACCGTTTTACACTTGTATCAAGTTATTATTTGGAATCATTGTATAGTATATATCTATAAGTAACTGGAAACCATTATTAAGGACAACTCATGGGCAAAGAAAAGATAGAGGGTGAATCGGGCCAGAAAATTGAGTAATCGCCAAATCACCCGTCCCTGGCTCTTACATAGCTTTGGTTTCATGCAGATAAAAAAAGTTCTGGATGTAAAATTTCAGTCTTTTGCTGGACAAATGAAACACGTGCAAATATTGTCTATCCTAGCTGTGAAAAGCACCAATCAATGGCGTCAGACTTTTAATCGGCGTGAAGTGCTAAAACCATACCTCTTCAGCGCTTTACTTCTTCTTCAAAGGCTTTCCACATCTTCAAGATATATTTTGCATCTCTAGCTCAAAAAATATATCTATCCGTCGATTAACTTACATTCCAAATGAGAATCATAAATTAACAACAGAACTCTATAGGTACATAAATATCTTTTTTTGCAACAGTTAACCACTTCTTTTTTCATTTTCAAATATTTGAACAACGAAATAGCTTTTAAAATCAGTTAATATTTTTTTATATTCAGCTGATATTTCTTTTTAATAGATGATTTTACATTAAATTATTTTATTTCTTTAACAAATTTTACTATTCTCGATTTATACATTTAGAACAATGATTTTGGCTCGTTAGAATATTCTTGACTTGCGTATAACAAAAATATATAGCATGCACACAAGGGGTCCAGTGATTCTATCAGTTCATAGGCATATTTTCTGTACGAAATCACGCTAAATATATAATATTTGATTGAGAAACGTGGTTGCTCATAATGAATGATCAAAGACAATCTACCAAGCTCAATTTAAATCCAATATTAAAAATATCTAAATTTTTACTAAATTCTCCATTCCAAGTCAGTCAAGTTAAAACTATCCTAATTGTTTTACTCATTCATCCATTCCAAGTCATTCAAGTTTAAACTATTTTGATTGTTACTAAATCATCCATTCCAAGTCAGTTAAGTTCAATGTGAGTTTGTAATAGGAAAACAACTTTTAAAGTTAATAGATGTAAGCTTGTGAAACGGTGTCGTTTTTTACAGTTTCGTCCTTCTTTTTTAGGTCAATCCAAGTGCATAAGATCATCTTGTGTGGTTATAACATATCTTACTACATTCGTTTGAAGATTTGTTCGTAAAGTAGATATCGGATAAAAAACATATCATTCCACTGCTGTTTATTGATAGGTTCTTAATCACAAATAACACAAACCTCTTTTTATCAAAATAAATGATAAAAAGGGAATTAGAAAGTTCAATCTAGTAATTACAAGAAACAAGAAATGTATTTTTGCATCTATATCATGATCTGATAGTTATATATCATCCATCACAATTTAACAACAATGAAAACAGAAGATGCTTAATGATAATTAATTACAATGCACTGCTGTATACCATATGATGATTCGGATCAGTGCTTCTTTTTGGATACAAACATCTTACAAAGATCCTGTAGTTTTAAATATAGAAATATTTAGAAAATCTGGCTTTTGAATAAAAAAAAAATCTAAATCGTTAATGATGAACGCCTATAACTTCAGCGTTTACTTTTGACATTCTTCAAAAGTCCTATCCATGGAATTTACTTACATGTGTTAAACCTTTAAATTGACCAGTGTTTTCGGAAAGAAAATGAGGAAATATTTATATTTATACTTCATGAGAATCGGTATAAAACTTGAAATATTTTAATGTGAATTTATTTTGATGCGAATGGATAATATTTCTGTCTAACATAAAATAAGGATATGTGATTTCTGTCTAACATAGAATAAGGATATGTGATTTCTGTCTAACATAGAATAAGGATATGTGGTTTGATTGCCAATTAGACATATATCCAACAGCCCAAAACGACGTGAATTTAAGCAAATATAGAATTTAGAAGTAAAAAAACAAAATAATCCTTTTAATTATTAGATAAGTTGCATGTAAACAAGATAAATATATACCGTTTGGAAATTTAAAAAAATCATAATCTTATAGTATACGCCTTTTTAGTCATTTGGTTAATTTAAAACATAGTATAAAGTACAAGTAATCGGCGATTAATAAATTATTCAAAGACCAGAAAATAATTTCTTGAAACCTGATATCTTTTTGTCATATTTTGAAATATAAAAATATTTACGATGTCATCAAATTTGTTTACAAAACATTTTACATGTACAATGAGTGTTGCAAAACTTCAAACTATCTGCAAATAGGAAGTGGTTGCACGGCAGATGTAAAAATTGGTAACAAATTAACTCATAATGTTAAGCTGCAGACCAAATCTAGTACATTTCCTTCCATAGAAGACAAGAAAACTTTGACGAAAGTTTTCGATCGAAGGTATTTCGGACGGACGCAGTTGAGCGATTAAAAGGCCTGCTATCGTTATTGGCCACGCGAGTAAAATCGAATTCGATGATGACATACAGTGAAATAAATATTTATCTAGCAACAACATACAATTCTCTTTAGAAAAATATACGGCGCATTTATTTGAAGAAATGATAATTTTATGATTATTGCAAGAACGTTTTTACTGTTTTATTATCTATAAAAACTTATTTTAAGACTTTTCCCTCATATCAGCATCTAAGAAAATAAAAGGGATGAATGCTCTGATATCCGATTCAAAAACCAACGTTTAAATTATGCGTTTTACTCGATCCATCAGCAGGATTTTAACTCAATCTTTGCATACTTCATTGAGTTTTGTGTGTGTTTGTATGTGTATGTGTAGTTGTTGTTGTATTATTGTTTCATTGACGTTCAATCCCTTATGCCATTTATTCATATTGTTATCGTTTTGTTTGTTTTCCCTCTAACTGATTTCTCATATTGTTTTAAATCTATTGCGATTATCTTTTAATTTTAATCATCTTGCGTAGAGTAAAATGTTTATCTACCTTTTTGTCACTCATCAGTAAATGCTCTTTTAGCCTGTCTTTGACTTATCGTACGATCTCGTACAGAAACTCTTTGATAAAACATATCAAACGTTGAATTCTGATCTTTATCTTCTTGTTCACGTGGAGGCGCGTGTCATCCTTAACGCCTTTTCTCTTTGAAGTATATCAGTGATGTACCTATTCTTTGATGCCAAGATCACTCTTATTTGTTTTAGAAAAAAAGGTAGCTTCTGAAACTATTTGATAAGAAATCAATGTAATGATTCATATTAATCATGTTTATTTTCGGGATAATTATAAATAATGATGCTGTTTTATTGTCACCATCTGTATAGAAATAAAGAAAAAATGATGCACGCTATTAACCATGCAGGCCTTTGCGACATGATCGGAATAGTTTGATATCTATCATCTCTTTTTTTTTCTATTTTCTGTTGCTTTTTGTAATATTTTGATATGTTAACTAGTTTATATTTTATAAATAAATAGGTCACTGTAACTATTTTTCAGACAGAAGATGTAAATTCTACCGAAAGAAAGAATAGCGGGAATTTGTTATTTAATTTGACTGGTTTTTCATCAAAATATAATAATGACGAAGACAATTTTATGTTAGATCAGATTCGATTAACAAAACAAAGGAAAAGACATAAAGGAAAAAGGAAGAAAAATAAAAAACGTAAGAAAAAGAAGAAGACTAAAAATAATTCTATAGGAAACATTAACAATGGCGGTCGTAGACGCAGAAAAAATAAGAAATGTAAAAAGTGTGGAAAAGGGAAGAAACTTCAAAGGACAAAATTTCGACAGCATATGTTCAAATTGGAGCCAACTACTATAAGACATATCATAGAACGAGTTGCTGAAGAAGCCCTTCAAAAAGGAGCTGGTTCCATGGATTTTGGTTTAAACTATAATCCATTTGAGTCATCAAAAAGTAAGTATACATTGTCATTCAATTAATTTCTTGAATTCTAGTTACTGCTTTTAAATAATGACCAAAAGACAATATCAAGAGCACAACTTTAAAAATATTAATTAACTTTTTCTGTATTTTGCAAATAAATAGAATTAAGTTTCTTCACAGTTAACATTCAGATACACTAAGGTTCAAGTTTTTCAGTCAACTTTGTCAAACCTTCATTTGAATTGTGGAAGAAGCTTTTTTATTACCACTAGACAATACCCAGTGATTAGGCAATTGGTAATTGAATCTTTTTTAATTCTAAGACATCACCAAATTCATTTACCACCGGTCATGTAAATTTTCTTACCCTGACACCTACCCGAATGTGAAACTCTGAAATTGAAACATTTTTTTTATAACAAAAGATAGACTATACAAATAAGAAGATGTGATATGAGTGCCAATGAGGCAACTCTCCATCCAAGTCACAATGTATAAAAAGTAAACAATTATAGGTCAAAGTACGGCCTTTAACACGGAGCCTTGGCTCACACCGAACAGCAAGCTATAAAGGGCTCCAAAATTACTTAGTCTAGTGTGAAACAATTCAAACAGGAAAACCAACGGTCTTATCTATATAAAAAACGAGAAACATTTATGAACCACACCAACTGAACAACAAGCTCCTGACTTAGGACAGGTGCATACAAATGCAGCGGGTTTAAACGTTTTAACAGGCGCCATCCTTCACCCTAACCTGACACAGTAGTGTTACATTACAACATAAAAAGACACACTATAAAATATCAATTGAAATGGTTTAACTCGATCAAAAAGACATATAAACAAAAACAAGTAATCATACACTGAACGAATAAGTTTGATCTATGACACAATATAGATACAATATTAATAAAAAAAAAGATGCAGGAACAATGTCAAAAAGACAACTCTAACCTAGGAAAACATGGCGTTAAATAAAATAACGTACACAGGTAAATTTAAATATAATAATTTTTACATCGCGATGTATTGTTGCCACAGAGATTTCTACTTACGTGACTTTCGTTTTTGACTGGTAATCGATCTATAAATACGCGGACATTATCGAGTGCAAAATAATATTCCTTATCGCTTGTTATAAATTCATTTCTTCAATGAATACTCATAAAAATATTTTTTAGAACATAAATTAATAATATGAAAATGTTTTGTCGTTAGAAATATATATATAAGTAAAAAATCATTTTAAATATTTATGAATACGTACAGAATCAAAGTACTGAACATCGGATGACTGCAAGTTCTTGTGGATGGTCACACGCACTTGTCTCAGAAAAAAAATCACATCTCTATACCTGAAAGTGAGGTTAATGTACAGATATAATTTTTTTCTTAGACAAGTTCGTGCGTGGGTGATAAATAAATGACAGGGAATTCAACCTCACCGTAATAAATATGATATTGAAGTGATACAAATCAGTATACTCTGGTTTGTTGTTATATATTATATTAATACTTGTATATTACAGTTACATGTATATACAATTTTCATCCATTTGCATATCATTCTATTCTACTATTATATTAATAACAGTGCAGTGCAAGTGCATGGTGGACACTCTTCTGTAATAATTCGATTTTTCTAATAGATTGGATTTGAGTAGGCATTCATATTTTCCCACCAAACTTTCAATCTCCCATGCAGAGTTATCGGTCCTTGAGAGAGAGAGCGAGGACCGATAACTCTGCATTGGAGATTGCAAACATTCTTGAGATATTCTTCTGCATGCATTTACACACATTTTATGTACGTGTGCATAGATATTAAAGATTTTTTACTTATGTATATATTTCTAACGACAAAACATTTTCATATTATTAATTTATGTTCTAAAAAATATTTTTAGGAGTATCCATTGAAAAAATGAATTTATAACAAGCGATAAGGAATGTTATTTTGCACTCGATAATGTCCGCATATTTATCATGTTTATAGATCGGTTACAATCCCAACACGAAAGTTACGTAATGGAAATCTAGGCGACAGCAATACACCGGAATGCCCTCACGGTCATCCGATGTAAAAATTGTGTTAACGCATGCGGAAGAATATCTCAAGAACGTTTTGCGGGAAAATATGAATACCTACTCAAATCCAATCTATTAGAAAAATCGAATTATTACAGAAGAGTGTCCACCTTGCACTGCACTATTATTAGAATAGTAGAATAGAATGATATACAAATGGATGAAAATTATATATACATGTAACTGATATAAACAAATATTAATATAATATATAAAAACAAACCAGAGTATACTGATTTGTATCACTACAATATAATAGTTGTTACGGTGAGGTTGAATTCCCTGTCATTTATTCAGCAGCCACGCACGAACTTGTCTCAGAAAAAAATATATCTCTGTACATTAACCTCACTTTCAGGTATAGAGATGTGATTTTTTTTTCTGAAAAAATTGCTTGTGACCATTCACAAAGAACTTGCGGTCATCCGATGTTCAGTACTTCAGTACTTTGATTTTGTTTGGAGTACGGAACATTTTTTACAAAATAAACAAATTTGTTGTTCACAGTACGAGTACAGAAGTGAAAATTTATCGATACTAAATACTTATCAAAGGTGGTACATATTAAAAAAAGTGAGACAAGATATGAAAACATTGATTAACAAAAATGCATTACAAATTGTGTCAACAGGTCAAATTAACAAGAAAGTACCATTTGAGAGTACTCGCAGTTACTGAAAGCTAGTTAAAAGCCAAAAACAATTAATAATAAAAAATCATGCATAAGAGACTATAAAATCAATTAAAACACATCCCAGGGATTTAGTGTTTTAACGCCATGGACAGTCAAAGAAGACATGACTTGTGCAATGCCAAAATATAAGTATCGAAAGGCAGTAGGATAGTTAGGATTTAACCTTAAGATAAAGCAATCTCTAAATAGAAAATAAACGCAGATGTGTATTTATACATCCCAAAAACCATTCGAAAAGAACACAAATTTAGTTATGTTTTAATTCGTTGATGACAAAATCGATGTTAGTGCCAATGTAAACAATATTCAAAGATCTTATTACAACATTAATAAGATAACCTTTACTAATAAGTTTGTTTAAAGGTTCGATGAGTTTACACGGATCACATAGTGATTTCCGCGCTTTTAGTACAATATTACCGTAAAATTTAGGATGTGAAATACCGTTTTTAATTAGTTTTCTACAGGTATAGCTAAATTTACTAATCAAATCTATGAAAGAATGTAGTAAATGTTTTGAATAATTTATGGTAACGAAATCCCTGACTTAATAATTTACCAGTGATGCATTGATTACGTTCGTTAAAATCTATGACATCACTACACACACGGGCATAACGAACGAGTTGGGATATATAAACACCGTATAATGGAGTCAAAGGAACATCGCCTGCTAAAAAGGGAAAATTAACAATAGGGAATGAAAAATCGTCTCTTTTGTCGTAAATTTTAGTATGGAGTTTCCCTCTAGAAATTGAAATGGACAACTACTGCTGTTTATGTTAGACTGTTACTTGTATAACATTGTATACATTCAAACTCGTGATGGCGTCCGTAAAATTTACGAAGGGATGATTTCAACTTCACCACTTGGAACTCTTGGTTTGAAAGCTTCCTTGTAAGCATCAACCCTTATTAAGGAAATCAGAAATGCAAGATCTGAAATATCGTATCAACTTGAAGATATCTATTTCAAAATTCACTTTGCAGGCGTTGCTGGAATGTTCTACATAGTATTGGAAAGTTCACAATTGGGAAGCTGTTGTTAGGGAATAATTAACCGATCACAAAGATAATAAACCTCGTAACATTCTATTATAACTGGCATACAGGATGGTTTTACCCATCAATGAAGGCCATACGGTATCTGTAGTTGTTTACATCTTTGTCCTTTGATAAATGTTCGAAAGATGTCTCATTGGCAAACATATCTTCTTATTTTTATAAATTGGTACATCAAATAAGCTTTTCAAAATCATCTTTTAATTTTGTGTCTAATTTTTAAAAAAGAGGCGCAACATACCAAGGGGACATTTAAGACGCATAAGTCGAAGATAAACTGACATGCCATGTTAAAAACGAAAGAAAAGGAAAAGACAAACAATTCAACAAAAACTGAGTTTTTGAGCAACACGAACTCCACCAAAAAATGGGGATGATCTCAGAAATCATATTGATCTTCAAAAGATATTTCATTTGTAAAAAGATAAATATTCAATTATTTTAATATTTGAAAAAAATAGCTGGGGTTTTGAACAAAATTTGGACAGAAAAAGGAAAGAGGAGCCCTGCTTTCAGATGATTTCAAGGATACGCAGAGCAACTATTGTTCAAGGAAATAAACACCATAAGGTTATGATGTCATGATTTGGTCCGTAGGAACTTTTGGGGGTATTTTGCAGATTAGAAAAATCTGGCATGTACACAGCTACTTTTGATTTGCACTACAAATTTTAATACTACAAATTTTCGGTACAGAAATAATACCAACAGTGATCACAATATTCCATGTTTGAAAATTTTAAGAGATTTGAAATAGACAAACTTTCAAAATGCTAAGACGGTATAACCAACCATCTGTAGTACCTTAATTTCAAGTACAAATCAATTACTATAAAATACAGGTACCTAAATATTACAATAATTTTAAAGTAACAAAATAATACTTAATATTAAAATTACATTTCCATTACTACAGATTTTTGGTAAAGAAAAAGTACCTTAGCAACAGTAGCTGTGTAAGGTTATCATAATTTAAATCTAAACTGATTAAAGTTTCAGTTGACCAGTGGTCCGCTTGGGGAGAGTGTAGTGTGACTTGTAACAGTGGACAAAAAAGTCGATCCAGGGGATGTGGAATGTCATGTAGAGAGACCGAGACGATGGTCTGCTTTATGCCATCATGTAAAAGAGGTAGATTAATGTAAACGTTAGGTACAACACAAATGTTTTTAAAAGAACATGTTCTCTTGTGGAGAGTTGTCTCATTGGCATTCATACCACATTTTCTTATTCTTATATCACATATAATTGTTATTGGCCTTCTTGGGTCACGCTCATGTAAGTTAATATCTAGAAAAATACAAATGAGTCAACGGTGGCAATACTTTTGGGTTGATTCTTCTATAACTCGTATGTTTGACAACATAAAAATCGGAGGAAATCAAGGAGGTATGCAAGCTCTGAAGATTCAATTTTACAAAATAGAAAAATGCTATGTTAGGCGACGGTTCACGTTGAGTCAATGCTTGGAAACCATCAGAGTGATGCGAAATCTGTTTTCAAAAAGGCGTGTCACTGAACTAAAGAATGACAACTTTATTTAATTAAATATTCGGGGTTTGACCTCTGCTAATTCAAACTGATGTGAGTAAGTTGATTACCTTTATTTTAGATAGGAAGCCTAAAGGCGATACTGCTTCCAGAGAATTTAACAGATACTTTCCATCATCAGGATCAGTGGAGTATATTAATGAAGGTATGAGCTGAAACAGAAATTCTAAGTAGTTTATTTACAGGGTCTTTTTTTAAGATTACTGTTCTTTGTTTCTGAATATTACTAGTATCAGACTCCATAATCTACAGAAGTTCTGTTCTATCAAAATTAAAAATATTTTACTTCGAATGAAAGCGAAAATATTAGTATGTTATCCATCGATATTATTGTGTCGCTTTCCATGTTTGAAAATAATGAATTTATACTTAACAAACGCATTTCAGATGTGGATACTTGTGAAGAATGGATAGATTGTAACAATCAGACAATAAAAACATACCTCAATAAGTCATATCTACCTTCCTGTCCGTGTTACTATCCTTTACATCTAGATTATAACAAAAAAGTATGGGATAGACAAAAACAAAAACATTTCCAGTGGCACAATATCATTATATCAGAGGAAGGTCTGAATGCTTATAAACCAAATGCTCAATACTGCATCCGGTCTAAATTGTATCGGGGAACCGAGACATTAGCAGCTCAATTCTGTTGTTATGATGACACCATGCGATTGATTACACGAGGAAAAAGTGCTGGAACTCCTAATCTGATATCACCGGAGATTTCACAGGAACTTCATCATAAGCTGGACATCAGTCCATGGATAATCTGCAAGGGAGACTGGACTAGGTAAGATAGCACAATTAATCAAACATAAGAACCTATATTTTGTATATCATAAAATTAATTAACCGACAATATTGGTAAATTTTAGGTATCAATTAATAATTTGATATAAGTTCGTTTCTCGAACTTAACCCATAATTGCCTAGAATTGACATAGTAAGGCGACAATAGCTTACCGATGTTCAAATATCGTTAATCGATTAAAAAGAGACAAATCAAGGTAACAAACAACCGAGGGAATCACGTGAACTCCAGAAGGAGAGACATTGATGCGTCGACAGGGTAAGCGTCTTCTGCTATGTATGCAACATACGAATTCACAGTCAGTCAAAGTGTCACAATCGGGCAAAGGACAAAATCGGTTAAATTACAGATCATACGACTAGACCGGTACCTAAAGATCTAAGACCGCGAAAACATGTCACTAGTGAGTTGAGATACCTACACACCGTATTCGTCATCACATTCATGATGAGTTCGGAAAACTTATGTAGTGTCGATTTCAGTTGTTCTTCTTCATAACTATGTCTGAGCAGTGAAAATTGTTTTTGACTGTTTTTTTCCCTGTATAGTATCTTTGGATTATTCATATCGATATTTAAATCACTCAGGCATCTCAGCAAACACAGAAAAGAATATGAGTAAGCTAAATGCTGGGGATGGACTATTTTTTAAGAAATTACCTTTATATTTACAGTTAACAAAATGTTAATCTTATTTTCAGCATTGGAATAATGTATACAAATACTCTATTGACATGCACTATTCATGACGTTGCCGTAAAAAATCTACTCAAAACTACATAATTTCTATATCAACAGATGCCGAACTTTAAGCATGCCTTCAATTTCTGCGAACATGTTTTAATACATGATTGTTTAGTATTGTGTTTAACTTGTACCTATGTCAGTATTGTTCTTTAAATCTAATGCCCGAAGCTGTTTTTGTTTTTGTTCATGATTCAGGTAATATAGAGCTACATCCTAATTCTAAACTGACTTTCATTGCAATTTGAAGAACCTGATTATACTCCCAGTCTTGATAGGGGTTTCGTACAGCTCAGGGCTTCAGTTTTTACGTTCACTGATCGTGAATGCATGTTATTGGTCCACACACACCTGCCTTACCATTTTGTTGTTTAATTCGTTTATTACGTACCAGCTTTCATTTTTTTAATTTCCTTTCGCCTAGTATCTTCCGTCTCTTATTTATTAACTGCGAATAGTCTTTGAAACGACATTATTTTTTGTATTGCTTTTAAATATGAAAATAACACTATGTAAATTTGGTGCGTTCCAAGCGCTTTTTAGCTCATCTGGCCCGAAGGGCCAAGTGAGCTTTTCTCGTCACTTGGCTTCCGTCGTCCGTCGTCGTCCGTCGTCGTTGTTAACTTTTTACATTTTGAACTTCTTCTAGAGAACCACTGAACGGAATGAAACCAAACATGGCATGAATGTTCCTTATGAAGTGCTGACCAAGTGTTGTTACTTTGTAGCGGATCCATCATCCAAGATGGCCGCCAGCGGGGGACTTAGTTTAACATAGGACCCTATGTAAAATACATACAAATGTCTTCTTTTAGAGAACCACTGAATGGAATGGAACCAAACATGGCATGAATGTTTCTTATGAGGTGCTGACCGAGTGTTGTTACTTTGAAGCCGATCCATAATCCAAGATGGCCGCCAGCGAGGGACTTAGTTTAACATAGGACCCTATGGGAAATACATACAAATGTCTTCTTTTAGAGAACCACTAAATGGAATGAAACCAAACATGGTATGAATGTTCCTTATGAGGTGCTGACCGAGTGTTGTTACTTTGAAGCCGATCCATAATCCAAGATGGCCGCCAGCGGGGGACTTAGTTTAACATGGGACCCTATGGGAAATACATACAAATGTCTTCTTTTAGAGAACCACTAAATGGAATGAAACCAAACATGGCATGAATGTTCTTTATGAGGTGATTACCAAGTGTTGTTACTATGAAGCCGATCCATAATCCAAGATGGCCGCCAGCAGGGAACTTAGTTTAACATTGGACCCTATGGGAAATACATACAAATGTCTTCTTTTAGAGAACCACTGAATGGAATGAAACCAAACATGGCATGAATTTTTCTTATCAGGTGCTGACCGAGTGTTGTTACTTTGAAGCCGATCCATAATCCAAGATGGCCGCCAGCAGGGGACTTAGTTTAACATGGGATCCTATGAGAAATACATACAGAAGTCTTCTTTTAGAGAACCACTGATTGGAATGAAACCAAACATGGCATGAATGTTTCTTATGAGGTGCTGATCGAGTGTTGTTACTTTGAAGCCGATCCATAATCCAAGATGGCCGCCAGCAGGGGACTTAGTTTAACATAGGACCCTAAGGGAAATTCATACAAATGTCTTCTTTTAGAGAACCACTGAATGGAATGAAACCAAACATAGCATGAATGTTCCTTATGAGGTGATTACCAAGTGTTGTTACTATGAAGCCGATCCATAATCCAAGATGGCCGCCAGCAGGGGACTTAGTTTAACATTAGACCCTATGGGAAATACATACAAATGTCTTCTTTTAGAGAACCACTGAATGGAATGAAACCAAACATGGCATGGATTTGTCTTATGAGGTGCTGACCGAGTGTTGTTACTTTGAAGCCGATCCATAATCCAAGATGGCCGCCAGCAGGGGACTTAGTTTAACATGGGACCCTATGAGAAATACATACAAATGTCTTCTTTTAATGAACCACTGAATGGAATGAAACCAAACATGGCATGAATGTTCCTTATGAGGTGCTGACCGAGTGTTGTTACTTTGAAGCCGATCCATAATCCAAGATGGCCGCCAGATGGGGACAATGTTTAACAAAGGACCCTATGGACAATACATACAAATGTCTTCTTTTAGAGAACCACATACTGAATGGATTGAAACCAAACATGGCATGAATGTTCCTTATGAGGTGCTGACTAAGTTTTGTTACTTTGAAGCTGATCCTTCATCCATGATGGCCGCCAATGGGGGGACTTCCTTTAACATAAGACCCAATGGGAAATACATACAAATGCTTCTTCTAGAGGTGCACTGAATGGAATGAAACCAAAACATGGCATAAATGTTTCTTATGAGGTGCTGATGAAGTGTTGCTACTTTCTTGCCGATTTACTGTTCAAGATGGCCACCAGGATTTTTTTATTAAATTACAGGACCAATATTAAACCAAATTTGGCCTCACTCATTATTAGGGTATCTGTTATGATTTTAATCTATTTTTACATGATTTCCAAAACCAAAGTAGAATCAGGTGAGCGACACAGGCTCTTGAGAGCCTCTAGTTTTATTAACGTTCACGAGAAACGCAAACACAAAAAGTCAGAAAGCCAGAGATGTATAAGTACTTAAATACGCGAAGACCTATATGACCGAAAAGGACAAAAAACCTAGCTGTGATTTTTGGTGCATTTTGTTTATCAACTGAAATGTTTCCTTTACACAGGTATAATGAGGTCATCCAGCCAAATAATGGTTTAAACTGCAGAGACAATCCAAATGAGGAGGACCTAAAAATTCAGATTTTCCAGGCACAGAACTTCTAGCTCCTAAAAACATTATGAAAGGATAACTTGGTGGACCTTTTTCTGTTGTCTTTATGCTTGGAAATACTGTGAATGACAATTAAAAGAAACGTTTATACATACACCATACTATGATTTGTCAACATCATGTCTTGGTTTTGTTTAGGTGAAAGTACATGTCAGTCCGCATTATGAACTGGTATATGTCCTGTTATCATGATATATACGGGTAGACCATCTGTTGGTCGGTTTTTGTTATGATGCAGGAATAAAACAGGGAGATAATTAGTTTTAGTTGTCGTGCCTGAATATAGTAAAACAATAAAATAACATTAAATATTTATAAATCTAAAAAAATGTGGACCGCATTCAACACTCCCCCTTGCTAATATATATAAGCGTACGATACAGATATCATTTCGGGTAACACGTTTATCTGAGTTACTATTTCAAAAGTACGTTCGACACCAAAAAAAAAATTGGAAGCCCCGAAACCTCCAATATTGAAAGTTAAGATGAATCAAACACAAAAATGAGACATCAACAAAACAACAACAATATATAAAAAGAGTTGTAATCTCAGTTTTATAATACAATTACTAGAAAGTAACTCGGGTCAGTGCGGGTATGGAGGGCAATTTAAATAGATATTTACAAATAAAGTAGAGAACTATAACATCAACTTTATTGTGCTAGGATGACTGGTTGTTGCAAAATACGTAGATGTCAAATTCGTTTGCTTATTTGTCTTTGTTGAATTTACTAGGCATGCTTTAAACGACCATCGTTAATGATTAGAAAGACCTTCGATAGATAAAACCATGGAGATACTGATATTCCATACATTTAAAGTCAAGGAGACAGCATCTCAACTATTATACAAAAATTAGTAACCTCTTTTCAGTAATATAATAATATTTTTGTATTGTACAGAAACATTTGTGAAAAAAACAAAATCCAAGTTTTCCAAAGTTGCTTCCCCCTTTAGATATCTGGTGATTCATACACAAATCAGATATGAAAAATGGTTCGACAATTCCAACGTAATTTTTTGACTTGTTTTTGTCACACAACTGATTTTGGAGTTGGTATATATTTCATCCAATGTTGCAGAAAGTCCCAAAAACAATGCGGAAGAGGATTTGTTTTCGATAAAGAGAACTTCATAGAAAAGAAATAAGCAGTCAATATTTGTGATGATAACGGTTTTTTTTTCTTATAAAAAATACAGACACAGCCAATCTTTTACTTTAAAAAATAAAGCAGGTGTACCCTTTTCTCGCCTTAAAGAAGCGAGACTTAAATTTGTTGTGTCCAGCAACAATGTCAACAATTTGTTGAAGTATCTATAAATGAGTCACTGATATTGGCATGCAGTTGTTTAAGCATTGGCACATTTCATTCCCATGGAAATAAATTTGCCCCACCCACTCAGTCAAGGTCTATTGCATAATATTTGGTATGCAGTTGTATAATCATTGACACGTCAAGTTTTCATGGAATATAAACAGAACAATGCAATATCCGAAACTTAAAAACACTTAAGCACATATAAAAGTGACTAGAATTTAAAATATTTCATTCGTCCCATATCTTACACTCTATTATTTTTTATTGCTGTTGCAACACTGATAGGTGATTAGACATGAGCAATAATTATTATTACAGCCTCGTTCTTATTACATTCGTCTTCAAATAGAATATCTTTATGCAAATTAAAAGGTAAGCTCCGCCCGTTTAGTTGAAAAAAAAAATCTGATAATATTCACAGATTACTCTCTGTTGATTTATTGCACAAGGTTAAAAGATTACCCTGTTTTGGGATATAAACTTTACATCAATATATCAGTCATTTGTTTTGACAAATCAATCGATATCGTACGTATACATGTTTGAATTTTTCCGTTGTAATGGACAAAAGTAATAGTTGAATAATAACATCAGTACCTTAACATTTATTACACGAAAAAAATAAACCGGGTTTGCAGATTACACAACATTCATACACAACTGGATATGTTTTCCATCTATGTATCTAATATGAATATTTGTGAATTACAGAATTTTATAAAGTTAGGAGAATTTAATTCTCAAAAGTACCTACAAAATGCATTTTCAAATAAACTCGAAGAAAGTTTTTGCCTTTAATAAGTTTATACGCTAATGCGAAGGTAACATGCACAATCTAATATATATATATACATATCTCAGTTTGAGCACCTGTCGTACCTTCCTGACAAATATGCTAGGTTGTCAGTAATTGACAATTCACTTAAAAACTCAACATATACCCCCACTACTCTTATCATTGAGGAAATCATGAATAATCTTAGTTCTGTTCTATGCTCTTTTGGAATTTCAAACAAAGATGAAGAACAGGATCTTCTTTCACTGTATGGGATACCTTCATAAGTGTCCTTACAAATAACGTTATATACTTCTGGGTCTTTTAAGTGCTCCACAAAACCCTTTTCTAAATTATTAACATCAACTTATCAGCAATCAAAGCTTGACTTCAAAGTTATTGTGAAACTACATACTCTAGCGGTGGCGTGAATCAGATGTGGATACTTAAACATTCGAAAGATGTATTAAAGTTCATACAATCTAAGTCTCTTTCCTCTTGAAATAGTTACAAAACCGTTGGTTTTTTTACCCTTTACAAAAGTATTCCCTATCCCGAACTAAAAGACAAATTGAAAAAAATTGGTCCTGCTTTGTTTCATAAAAATGGAATGACCAGCGTAGATAAAAGTATCTTGTCTTATGGAGGGATAAGTCGTAAATGGTAAATAAATTACTCGGATTCAAACACAAAATGGTCTGAGACTGACATTTTCAAGATGCTTGATATCTTTTTGACAGCATGTTTGTTACGTTCAGAGGTTGTGTTTTTCAGCAGACAATTGGCATTCCACTTGAAACTAACTGTGCTCCTCTTCTTGACGACTAGTTCCTTTATTCATTGAGGATGATTTCATACAGGATCTTTTTACAAAGAATGAAAAGCAGCTAGCATTATCATTAACTTCACGCTGCACTATATAGATGATGTCCTCCCATCTACGACAAAAGAGATGATTTCAGCATTTCAATTGAAAACTTTCCGTTTCTATGTAGCAACCTTCTTGCAGCGCCTGCATATGGAGTATATATCTCCCAGTTGATACAATATTCCAGAGTTTGAATTTCCTATCATGATTTCCTTGATAGAGGGATGCTGCTTTCAAGGAAGCTTTTAAACCAAGGTTTCCGAGTGGTGAGGTTGAAAATATCCCTTCGAAAATTTTACGGACACCATATCGAGTTGGTTGACCGTTATAGAATATCTGTTTCACAGATGACGACGGATATGTTCCAGTTATCGTTAACACAATCCCATTATCTTTTCTTCAAATGTGACTTACCGAATTAGAATTATCAACGGATTTGTACTTACATGAGCAACACGACGGGTACCAAATGTAGAGCAGGATCTGCTAAACCTTCCGGGGCACCTGAGTTTACCCCTAGTTTTGTTTGAAAGGGGTTCATGTTGCTCCTGTTTTAATTTGAAGCTGTGTTCTTTGCTTTTTAGTTTTTCAATGTCTGTGTTGTTTTTACTGGTAACAGTCTTGTCTATCCTTGTCGTGAAAAACGTGTTTTAATTTTCAAAATTTCACACTCGGCCAAGTTTCTGATGGTTGACGAAATTTGTTTATGTCTAATGGTTAGATGATACGCGATTACCAATCCGAGTAACATGACGGGTGTCACATGTGGAGCAGGATCTGCTTACCATTCCGTATACCTTGAGATCACCCCAGGTTGTATGTCTTTCGGTCGTTTTCACTTTTTGCTATGTCATTGTCTGTTTGTTTTCGACTTTTGAGTTTGAATATCCCTTTTGTATCTTTGAACCACGCGTTTTCCTTAAAATCCGGCAGATTCGGTCCTTTTGTACTAAAGATATTGTTTTCTAAATTTTTAGTATGGTTACTTAAAAGGAAATTATACAATCGGAGATATGAGGATGTTTTGATACAGTATGATTATGTAGTGTTTAGTCGGAGTTTTCTCTGACATTAAACAGCGTTTTTGGGACCATTAAATAGCAGTGTCGGACTATTATTATTTTATGTAGCCTTGTTGGTATTGTCTATAATACCAATACCATTGATTTTTTAATTAGTCTTTTATTGTGTGTGTTTCTTTAATCTTTTGTATTTCTACTCACTCGCATGATCGCGAGCATTTGATAGTTTGTAAGCACTTTTTAAATATGTATGTATTGAGTAACGTGTAGTATCGCATTAATTATTTTTCCATTATGGTGCTTTGGATGGTTAAATTTCTAGAAGAAAAAATAAAATTGCTCGTCCATGTTCGGATAAAATAGGGGGAAAATATATATTTTCTATCTGTAGCTGCTGTAGCAGCTCTTAAGTATCAAATTCAATCCTGTTTAAGTAAGTGCATGTTATTCACTTTAAAGCTTTCTCTCTAATATAATTGGTTTTTGGTTATAATTTTCTTTCAGATTTGGAATATTCCTTTCTATTTACTTAGTCGATTGCCCTTTGGTCCCTTTAAACTTCGGTTATATTTTTTTCATGAGACAAGCTAGATTTTATTTATTTGCATTTATCTTGTTTCCTTACATTGGCGTTTCAATTTTGACATTCAAATGTTGAGGTTTGAGCATTCCTGGTGAAGGTAAAATTGGACGCACAAAGTTATAAGATTAGTACCTTTATTGGTATTATAAAGTGTGATTCATTTTTTAGCATAACTGAAGAAGTTTAAAAAGACATGTATCGAGTACACTTAATAAAGTAATTGTATCTGTTTGGACTCTGGCCTTATATCTACTCCGAGTCGTAAATCTGAAATTAAGTGTTTGTTTGGAATTTAAAGGACGTTTATTGAATTTAAATGAAATTTCAATAAGCCCATGTATAGATACAGAATTCATGGGAATGAAATCATATAATGAAATCTTGCCTTATTACAGGGAACATGTCAGCAGTGTTAAAATCTTATTATCGATTAAAACGTTAAAAATCAAGCTTACAAAAAGTCCCGAGGGAATTGCATGAACTCCAATAGCACTTTAACCAAGTGTGTCGATAGGGTAAGCGTCTCTTGCTGTGCATGCATCACCTACCATGCGAATATACACTCAGTTCAAATGTCATAATCAGCAATATGACACAATCGGTAAAATTACAGATCAGACAACTATTCTGGTATCTAAAGATCTAAGGCCACGAAATCATGTCGCTAGTGAAGGTGACATGGACAAATTGT